GGGGGAAACACATTTACCCTCTTCTTTCAATAGCTGCCTGCCGAAAGAAATTTTTCCCCCCACACACTCCCTTTTCCCCAAAAGTGTGTAGACATCACATTTCAAATGATCCTCCAGAATGCAACATCCCCATCCCTCCTCCAGAGTGTAGGCCATTTACTGTATTTCCCACCTGCAGGACTCAGTCCAACTAACCAGTTTTCCTAAATCCCTCATAAAAGTTAACATGCTCATACTCTAGCAATGGGTTAAGCTGCAAAAACCATTTCTCATTCTCATCTAACATGTTCATATAAACCTACTCGATGCTCAAGCACTCAAAACTTCCTTTCCCCCTCCCTCCAACACTTTCTTGGATGACCCCACCCTTCACATTTATGCACTCTTAGTAATCCTATTCTGCTTTATTCTTTCCGAATTCAGTTGTATAGGCATCAGGCATAAAGCTATATCTTCTCCTAACATTAAATTATATTAAGGAGTGTTAAGTATGGTCCAAATCGTCTTTCTCTTAACATTAAATATATTAGCCCTTCTAGGGTTGAAGAATTAAAAAAAAAAAAAAAAATTCTTAAGAAATGATAATCTTTTTCTGAAGATAATGAAACCAAAAGTATGAAATTTGATGAAAAACTTATTGAATTACACTCTTGCAAAGTTAGCAGCTTCAGCAATATTTGCACATCGGTGATTTCACCCACTTTGAGACTATTTTTGGCAAATTCATTTCTTCCAGCTGACCAAACTCTTTAACTAGTATTTTGCAAGTATTCCTTCTATTTCTTGAGTACAAAAAACTGCCCATTTACCTATTGCAACTACCTAATAAAGTGATCAGTTCCTAAATGTGTATTTGGACTGGCCAGTTGGACGAGTGACATCATTTGTTTACTCTGGATTATCGGCAAAAATCAAACATTTCCATTACTTTGAGTTTCATTTCAAGCTACTTTCAGTCCTAAAACCAATCAAAATTATCCCTATTTCTGTAATATATATTCCATTCCATCAAATGAGACCAAGAAAATAACCATAAAAACTATACAAAAATACACTGCAAAGTCACCGTTTTAAACCAAAAACAGTAGCAGTTTTTTCCTCATTATGCACTACTGCTGCAGGATTTTTTTTTTAATATAGTACACACTCACCACATAGACCCATTCTCTCACCTCTGGGCCCAAATTTACCACTCACAGCTTATTTGAGTGAGCTGAGCTCGTGGGGTAGAACTACAGGACCAACCCTGAAAGGGTTAATGAGTTTTGGACTTCATCATCCCTCTGACTTGTATCTTTGGTAACACCATCTTCTAATTTTTACCCTTAGAATTTTCTACATAATATTTACACCACACATTGCTCACACACATTACATCTCTGCTGCCTCTGGCCTTCTCCTTCCTACAGTGTTCAAAATCCCATGCCTCATGTTTATATGAAATTGCTAATGCAATTATACTTTGTAAATTATCCATTTCTACTTCCATAGATATACCTCTTCACAGATGCTTCAACACACCACCTACCTATGCTGCTATGTATAATCTATGTAACTGTATTTGTGTATACCTGAATAAACTTACTATTTCCTCTTGCATTGTACATTTGTTCTGAAGTACTATTGTATATGCAACCATGCCTCTTAAACATCACTGTTTTTAAGACAGTCAAACAGGTGACTGTTTAATGAGCCATAAACATTATTTGATTCTTGAAAATATAATGACAGTTGAGTGGGATTTGAGCCCATAGCAAGCCAATCCTAAAACTGTTTTCTTCTGTACTTAGTGGGTCACCCATTTTTTGTTCATGCTTCAAACTTTTTATTGCCTTTGTTATACTGTATTTCATTTATCAGCATTATGGTATATTTAAATTGGTTAATTTTTGACAGATGACACTAACCTAATCATCCCTAAATGACATAAATAGAGACTTTTGCTGAAAATTATACGGGAGAAATCAATATAGAATTTGAAAATTATTTGGTATATGCTTCTTAGAATCTCACTTTATGAATAGTTAATGATATTACTCTTGAATGCATTATATTCTGTGAATGCTTGTATTTTTATTGCTGTGCAAGTGCACACTAATTTATTAATTTTTTTAATCCTCAGGTACAAAAACATGTTCTACCTTGTCATTCTGTGTATGCACTTGGGACTGAGAGAATATCTTCCCGACTGTGGCATCCTGGCTGGGGAGAAGTGGAACAAGAAGCCATTGCTGTTCAAGAAGCTTTACTTAGAGAAACTTTGAAAGAACATAGACTTGCTGCAAATCCTGTTACTTGATTGACTTATAAAACAATATGCCATAATTTATTTTAATAGTTGTTTTTAAAGAGTTATGCCTTTTATTAACTTTAAGGGGGTATGCCTTGAGACTGGCAAAAGACTCGTGATCCAAGGAATTGGACCAGTCTCTTTTGAATCAGACCTGATTACCTCTCATTTCCAAGGTATCATATGAACCTCTTAAGCGTCTTTGAATGGCACAGAAGTGTCGACATATTTTCTAAACCCTATGTTTAAATTCAGCTGACAGGCAGAAAGTCAAATCTTTTCGTAACATTAAACTATATTGAGTATTGGACCTGAAGGAGATATCATTGTAACTATTAACCTGTGTGAAACTTGTCATTCAGTGTAGAAAATGAACCTTTAACAGCCAACTAAAGTAGTTTTTATACACACCATTAACTATCAGTCTCCACAAATAAATTATTAATACAGGAGGGCCTTGCTTTACAGTTTTGCTAATACAGCAGTTTTCAGTTACACCCATTCTGTATTTATTCAGGCTACTGACAATAAATATATTTAAACACTATAAGCTAAGTATGAAAATATTTTAAGGTTAAGTAATGTGTGTACTCTATGCACAACTGTTAGGCCTAGTTCTGTTGCTTGCTGAACCCTTAAACTGTCCAAACGTAGATCTATGTTTTTTCGACATTTGAAAGTATGTAAAAAAATGTAGATTTTTTTTTTTTACATTTGAAAACATGTAAAAAAAAACTGTAGATCTACTTTTGGAGCACTATGCATGTGAACGTAAATCTGTTTGGACAGTTTAAGGGTTAATGTATGATATCCTTTTTTCACTTTCAAATACATATTTAGGCTATGTTTCACTTGATAGCGATTTTTGCTTTACAGTCGTGGCCCAGAACCTAACCTACTGTATAAGCAGAGCCCTCCTGTACAAATATCTGTTGTCTCTATTATTGGAATGCTTGTAAACAAGAACTCTACATCAAAACTAACTACAAAAGAATTTAAACTATCATAGTGATAGGTTTAAGAAAGTAAAGGAAGTTTCTTAACCCTTAAACTGTCCAAATGTAGATCTACGTTTACGCATTTGAAAGCATGTAAAAAGAAAAACGTAGATCTATGTTCGGAGCGCTACGTGAGCAAACATAGATCTACGTTTGGCAGTTTAACCCTTTCAGGGTTTCAGCCGTACTAGTATGGCTTATGCACCAGGGTTTTTGACGTACTAATACGCCTAAATTCTAGCGCCCTCAAATCTAATGAGAGAAAGCTGGTAGGCCTACATCTGAAAGAATGGGTCTATGTGGTCAGTGTGCGTGGTATAAAAAAAATCCTGCAGCACACAGTGCGTAATAAGAGAAAAAAAAAAATTTGACCGTGTTTTTGGATTAAAACAGCGACTTTGCACTGTATTTTCGTATGGTATTTATTGATGTATTCTAGTTTTCCTGGTCTCATTTTATAGAATGGAAAACATATTACAGAAATTGAGATGATTTTGACTGGTTTTACAATGAAAAGTACCTTGAATTGAGCTCAAAGTAGCAGAAATGTTTGATTTTTACCAAAGTTCAAAATTAAACAAATCATGCTATGCGTCCAATACACGTCAACTGGCGAGTCTAATATTCTTTCACAAGTGCACTGATATTATTTATACCATTTCTACACTAATGCAGTAGTCTGCATAACAGTAAATCTTCTATTTTTTTGTGAGAATAAAAATTCAAAGTGAAAAGCAAAGAATGTAAGAGGGCCATGGGGACGCGACTAATGAACAGAGGAAATGTTATTTTAGTGCCAGGAATGTCTTTCTTGTTTATTCTGGACCCTATTCAGAAATTGGCATCTCTTGAAATGTGTGTGAAATTGGCAAAATTGCTAAATTCTGACCACTGTATTGGATAGTTGAAATCGGTAAATGGGTGGTTTCTTGTACTCATTCGATAGAAAAAATGGAGTTCTAGCGAAATTATGATTTTTGTCGACTAGTACACTGGAATTGACCGAAAATAGGGCTCAAAGTGGGCAAAATCGCCGATGCTTAAACATTGTCTAGACCGCTAACTTCGTGAGAGCATAATTCTGTAAGTTTTTCATCAAATTTCATACTTTTGGTGTCATTATGATCAGGAAAAGATTCTCTATCTTTTCATAAGAAAAAATAATAATTTTTTTTTTTTTTTTTTTTGAAATTTGGGCGACCCTGAGAACAAGTCTCTGAGAGGCCCTGTCGGCCCTGAAAGGGTTAAGAGTTAATAGTGAGCCCATTTTGACATGCAGAGGGTGGTCAAATTATTAGAGCCACATAAATATAGCATATATGTCAGTTTTAAACATTTTACATTGACTATCCTTCAAAAATGTTGAATGAATAAATACATTTATGGTGGGACACAGTTTACTTGAAGGTATTCCACACATGAAATGTAACACAGAGGTAGTGGGGGAGAGGTTTATAAATTGTGTAGTGTTGCTGAGACCAAATCAGTGTCCTGGAACTGAGAGTGGAAGGTTGTGTGCAGTGTTATAGTTGCCAAAGTGAACATTAAGCACCTTAAAAGAGGATATTTATACATTGTATTTACATTTGTTTAAATGTGTTTGGTAATAGTCATTCCTTTTAATTTTTTAATTCTTTTTTCTTACAGAAGCTGTACTAAAAAATCATATTTTCATAAAAATGGGTGAAACAAAAGACATAATCACCAAAAAAGAGGAATCAAATTCATGTGTTACTTATAGAAACAGGTTACTCTTATAGAAAAATAGCTGAAAAGGTGAAAGTTTCAAGGAGTATTGTTGATAGGTTGGCATTACAGTAATTATTAACAATGGAAGAAATAATCCCAGCTTCACCCGAAGGCAAGCTGATAAAGTGATAGAAAAGGATAACTCAAAGAGCAAACCAACTTATTGAAAAGAAGCTACTTGCCAACAGAAGACTGCCAATTACCTGGAGAGGGTTTCGGGGGTCAACGCCCCCAGGGCCCAGTCTGAGACCAGGCCTCATGGTGGATCAGAGTCTGATCAATCAGGCTGTTACTGCTGGCCGCACGCAGGCTGACATACGAACCACAACCCGATTAGTCAGGTACTGACTTTAGGTGCCTGTCCAGTGCCTTCTTGAAGACAGCCAGGGAGCAACTTAAAATATCAAAACACAATCGACAAACAGCTAGCTCCTAGACGCATATGAACGGAACGCTGGGACTGGGGTGACAGAGGATGGTGGTATGTCTCTCCCGTGGAGACAGTGGTCTCACCCATAAGATGGCGGTAGCCTGAGCTAGGGAAATACCCCACAGGCAATGCTCCAAATTTTTTCCCCTCCCACAAACTGAACCATGTTAATTTTATGAATTGTATAAAATTATGCCACAATTTTTCAATGGTGTAATAACCAAAACATGTCAAATAAATCCGTGTAATATAAGGGTCTACTGTAAAAGCCTGATAACATGTTTACACTATCATATATTTAGTGAGCAATAGAGATAGGCCTTAACAATACATATACAATTCACATATTACCTTAAAATATTTTCATCCTTGGCTTATAGTGAGTGGTGAATATATTTATGGGTACTCCTCACTTAATGACCAAGTTCCACTCCTAAGAGTAGATTGGTAGGCAAATTAGTCAAAGTGAGGAGCATACTGTACCGGTAGTGGGTTTGTCAACCGTCTTCAGATATTGTTTTAATGTCACCTTTGCACCATTTATAACATTTTTAGTATATTTTTAAATGTTTATACAGTAATGTACTGTAAACTGTAATAAACAGACCAGAGGAAATCAGTTTTAATATACATTACTGTACTTAGGTTAGCATACTGGTTAGAGAGCTGGTCATAGGTCTGAGTGGCCATTAAACAGGTAGGTCATTAAGTGACAAGTACCTGTATTGTAGGAAGTCTGAATAAATGAAGAATAGATATAACTGAAAACTGCTATAAAATAAAGCACCTTAAAGTGGGCCCCTCCTATAGGTTTACATGATGGCCAACGAAAGGGTTAATATAGGAGTGTCCTGCTTATTCAGCACCTTTTCAGTTTTATGTATTTTTGTTGGTTTTCAATCGAACCATTGTTTATGTTCATATTTTTTTTCACACGACAGTTGCATAAGGGAAGGGCAACCGGCACCATACTTTAAAGTATTATATGTACTTTATATTTATTTTACTTTTGTATCTGTATTTTATGCCTAGCTGTACTGCACACTTAACTGTAAACACATTAACAGGCATTTTAGATGCATCTGATATTAAAAAAAAAAAATGCTATTTTTCCACTTGCTGGCAATTTTTGCTTATCACCCGGAGTTGGAAACCTAACAGCCATAAAACAGGGCCCTCCTGTAATAGTTATAGGGGCAGAGCTATACGTGTACTATACAGTAGAATCCTCGTAACCACAGTTTGTTATCCACGGGTTACTGTGGCCCAAAAATAACCCTTAATTTTGCATAATAATGGCCCCAAAGTGCAGAAGTAGTTATGTTGGCAGGTCTTCAAAGCCTAAAAGGAAGCCTTGAAGTGCTTCCCATCTGTGAAAAAGTGCTGATTCTCTACTTATTATGCATACTTTATCAATTAAACTTTATCATAGGTATGTTATTTTATATAACCGGACTTGAGTCCTGCAAATGGGAAGTACAATGCCTGCACTCTAAAGGAGGGGTTTGGGATATTGGCAGTTTGGAGGGATATATTGTGTATTTTTATAGGTATATACTTCTAAGCTGTTGTATTCTGGGCACCTCTGCAAAAACAGTAATTATGTGTGAATGAGGTGAAAGTGTTGAATGATGATGAAAGTACACCTACCATCCGACTTACGACCTGCTCGACTTACGACCGTGTTTTTTATGCCAAATTTCTGGGAAATAAACAACTATTTGTGTTGTACACAGTGTTTATCCTAAACCTTACAGTATAAAATACAGTACTAACAACATAAAAAGTAAAGTAAAACATGAAATACCAAAATAAAACAATAAAATAGTCATTACAAAAATGTTTTGTTGATATTCAGTAGTAAAGTTCGACTTACAACCATTTCGACTTACGACCGGTTTCTCGGAACCGAACTCGGTCGTAAGTCGGATGGTAGGTGTATTTTCTTTTTGGGGATTTTCTTTCTCTTTGGGTCACCCTGCCTCGGTGGGAGACGGCCAACTTAAAACAAAAATATGTACATAAACAAAAAACGACTTATGTACAGGGTTCGCTACTATCCGTTGTTTTGGGTATCCACGGTAGATCTTGGAACGTATCCCCATGGATACGAGGGGGACTACTGCATTGTCCCTTTGAGAGGAAGCTAAGATACTGGTGAAAGGCTCTTGATTCAAGGAATCTGAGTTCCATTTCCCTTAAATCAAAAACAATTACCCACACACTTCCCATTCCTAAGGCAATGTATGACCCTTATGGGCTTACCACATCCTCATGAATTTTTTTTTTTTTCAACAAGTCGGCCGTCTCCCACCGAGGCAGGGTGACCCAAAAAAGAAGAAAATCCCCAAAAAGAAAATACTTTCATCATTCAACACTTTCACCACACTCACACATTATCACTGCTTTTGCAGAGGTGCTCAGAATACAACAGTGTAGAAGCATATACGTATAAAGATACACAACATATCCCTCCAAACTGCCAATATCCCAAACGCCTCCTTTAAAGTGCACGCATTGTACTTCCCATTTCCAGGACTCAAGTCCGACTATATGAAAATAACCGGTTTCCCTGAATCCCTTCACTAAATATTACCCTGCTCACACTCCAACAGATCGTCAGGTCCCAAGTATCATTCGTCTCCATTCACTCCTGTCTAACACACTCATGCACGCTTGCTGGAAGTCCAAGCCCCTCGCCCACAAAACCTCCTTTACCCCCTCTTTCCAACCCTTTCGAGGACGACCCCTACCCCTCCTTCCTTCCCCTATAGATTTATATGCTTTCCATGTCATTCTACTTTGATCTATTCTCTCTAAATGACCAAACCACCTCAACAACCCCTCTTCTGCCCTCTGACTAATGCTTTTATTAACTCCACATCTCCTAATTTCCACACTCCGAATTTTCTGCATAACATTTACACCACACATTGCCCTTAGACAGGACATCTCCACTGCCTCCAATCGTCTCCTCGCTGCTGCATTTACCACCCAAGCTTCACATCCATATAAGAGTGTTGGTACTACTATACTTTCATACATTCCCTTCTTTGCCTCCATAGATAACGTTTTTTGACTCCACATATACCTCAACGCACCACTCACCTTTTTTTCCCTCATCAATTCTATGATTAACCTCATCCTTCATAAATCCATCCGCCGACACGTCAACTCCCAAGTATCTGAAAACATTCACTTCTTCCATACTCCTCCTCCCCAATTTGATATCCAATTTTTATCTAAATCATTTGATACCCTCATCACCTTACTCTTTTCTATGTTCACTTTCAACTTTCTACCTTTACACACATTCTCAAACTCATCCACTAACCTTTGCAATTTTTCTTTAGAATCTACCATAAGCACAGTATCATCAGCAAAAAGTAACTGTGTCAATTCCCATTTTGAATTTGATTCCCCATAATTTAATCCCACCCCTCTCCCGAACACCCTAGCATTTACTTCTTTTACAACCCCATCTATAAATATATTAAACAACCATGGTGACATTACACATCCCTGTCTAAGACCTACTTTTACCGGGAAGTATTCTCCCTCTCTTCTACACACCCTAACCTGAGCCTCACTATCCTCATAAAAGCTCTTTACAGCATTTATTAACTTACTACCTATTCCATATACTTGCAACATCTGCCACATTGCTCCTCTATCCACTCTATCATATGCCTTTTCTAAATCCATAAATGCAATAAAAACGTCCCTACCTTTATCATAGAATTGATGAGGGAAAAAGAGTGAGTGGTGCACTTAGGAGTCTGTGGAGACAAAGAACTTTGTCCTTGGAGGCAAAGAGGGGAATGTATGAGAGTATAGTTTTACCAACGCTCTTATATGGGTGTGAAGCATGGGTGATGAATGTTGCAGCGAGGAGAAGGTTGGAGGCAGTGGAGATGTCATGTCTGAGGGCAATGTGTGGTGTGAATATAATGCAGAGAATTCGTAGTTTGGAAGTTAGGAGGAGGTGCGGGATTACCAAAACTGTTGTCCAGAGGGCTGAGGAAGGGTTGTTGAGGTGGTTCGGACATGTAGAGAGAATGGAGCGAAACAGAATGACTTCAAGAGTGTATCAGTCTGTAGTGGAAGGAAGGCGGGGTAGGGGTCGGCCTAGGAAAGGTTGGAGGGAGGGGGTAAAGGAGGTTTTGTGTGCGAGGGGCTTGGACTTCCAGCAGGCATGCGTGAGCGTGTTTGATAGGAGTGAATGGAGACAAATGGTTTTTAATACTTGACGTGCTGTTGGAGTGTGAGCAAAGTAACATTTATGAAGGGATTCAGGGAAACCGGCAGGCCGGACTTGAGTCCTGGAGATGGGAAGTACAGTGCCTGCACTCTGAAGGAGGGGTGTTAATGTTGCAGTTTAAAACTGTAGTGTAAAGCACCCTTCTGGCAAGACAGTGATGGAGTGAATGATGGTGAAAGTTTTTCTTTTTCGGGCCACCCTGCCTTGGTGGGAATCGGCCAGTGTGATAAAAAAAAAAAAAAAAAATATGCTTCAATGTAAACACTTGATCTACACATCCCCTACCCACTCTGAAGCCTCCTTGCTCGTCCGCAGTTCTACATTGTCTTACCTCTAATTCTTTCAATTATAACCCTACCGTATACTTTTCCTGGTATACTCAGTAAACTTATTCCTCTATAATTTTTACAATCTCTTTTGTCCCCTTTCCCTTTATATAAAGGGACTATACATGCTCTCCGCCAATCCCTAGGTACCTTCCCCTCTTTCATACATTTATTAAACAAAAGTACCAACCACTCCAACACTATATCCCCCCCTGCTTTTAACATTTCTGTCATGATCCCATCAGTTCCAGCTGCTTTACCCCCTTTCATTCTACGTAATGCCTCACGTACCTCCACCACACTTACATTCTGCTCTTCTTCACTCCTAAAAGATGGTATACCTCCCTGGCCAGTGCATGAAATTACCGCCTCCCTTTCTTCCTCAACATTTAAAAGTTCCTCAAAATATTCTCGCCATCTACCTAATACCTCCCTCTCCCCATCTACTAACTCCCCTACTCTGTTTTTAACTGACAAATCCATACTTTCCCTAGGCTTTCTTAACTTGTTTAACTCACTCCAAAATTTTTTCTTATTTTCATTAAAATTTCTTGACAGTGCCTCTCCCACTCTATCATTTGCTCTCCTTTTGCACTCTCTTCACCTTTCTTTTACTCTCCATATACTCTGCTCTTCTTATCTCATGAATATTATATATTATATACAGCCTCTCCTCACTTAATGATGGCGTTCCGTTCCTAAGGCCACATCGGTAAACAAATTCATCACTAAGTGAGGAGCATACTATAATGGTAGTGGGTTTGTGTCAACCATCTTTGATATTGTTTTACTGTCACCTTTGCAGCATTTATAACATTTCTGGTATATTTTTAAATGTTTATACAGTAGTGTACTGTATATAGCAGAAATCAGCTCTAATAAACATTAATTAGGTCATCAATTCAAGTCGTCAGTAAACGAGTACATCGCTAAGGAAGGAGAAGCTGTATACCCATGCTCCATTTTTAGTAGTGTATTTAGTTTGTCATATATTCAATTACAGTTGTAAAGTTTGCAGCACATGTGGCCCACACTACCTAGGTGTATGTGTAAGTTTCTATTTATATATAAACATGTTTAAAAGTATCAATGTCAAAGCAAACACAAAAACACTGCTACAAATCACATTCAATATGGAAGGAACAAGTTCACAAGTATTATTGAGTACAGTGGACTCCCGCAAATACACGGTTCCGAATCTGCGGCTTCAGTAACTCACTGATTTTTCCTTTGAACCAAACTAATAATTCTTTGCGGGAATCCCCATAAATTCACGGAATTTTTTGGCTTTTTTCATGGCAATATATATTGTTTTATGCGTTTTAACGCTAAATATTAAGAAAAATATAATTTAATAATTTTGTAACATAAATATTAATGTAAATTCAGCAAAATTTCCATATATAAAATATAATACTGAAAAGGCTCCACCCAAGGAGCTGTGAGTCCTCCGCTTCGCTTTGCAGTCATTACCTTCATTGTACTGCATAGCTAATTCATCATCATCTTCAATCAATTTCATTATCGGTGAATACCCATACATTTAACTTTACTTTTACTAAATTAAACTATTACCGTATATTTACCGTACGTATACCAAAGAAAACAGGGTTGCGTGAATTAAATATACCAAAGAAAATGGGCTTGCATGAATTACCGTATGTACATGGGGGTAACACTGGTATTTTACATTCTAGCACTGCGGGGAGACATAGCAATATGGTACTGCATATGGGTTTATCTTTACATTTTTTTTTTTAAGGGTGATGTATGAAGCTGAGTTTGAAATTAAATTAAAGTGTTTGGGGGACATATTTAGGGTTTAAACTATAAAAATAGGCATTTATAGGCGTTTTTTAACCGCCTCCAGAATTCACTGTTTTTCCAAATTCGCAGGTGATCTTGGCACATAACCCCGTGAATTTGAGGGACTACTGTACTCACAGAATGGGAAATAATCAAGTTTGATTCAAAGAGGAAATGATACCACTTAATTTCCTAGACTGAGAGCCTTTCTCTGATATCAAGACATTCCCTTGAAGGATACAGCTACAAAAACTGAATTTTACCCATGTGATGTGCTTAAAAGTTTAAACCACTTATTTAACCCTTAAACGGTCCAAACGTATATATACATTCACTCA